TATTCACCCATGAAAGCTTATGCTCCAATACATCTGTTAGTCTATAAGGTGCCACAGACTCTTGGTGGCAACTTGCCTAGTGTAGCAAACATGTACAGCTCCCATTGACATGAGAGAACCGTTTCTCATCTGATACTCCACCACAGCCTATCCCCACCACACAGATTTTAGTTAAAAACAGTTTGTTGCCCAGTCCATACAAGCAGCCTGTATGATGAGATGCAAATAGACTGACTCAATCATGGAGGTCTGTAATTAGCTCTATCTGATTTCAGGCATCTGGCTTGGATTTTCCTGTTTCATGATTGGTTGTCTCTGGGTTGTCCTGACACTCTGCTTCATTCCAGGACTGGGGTGACTTGGATGTACAGAGTGCTGTTATTAGCAGTGGTAAGTCATCAGTCTGCTAGTTTTGCTTTGGTTTTAACTTCGCTATTGACATAATGTAATAAATAATTCGGTTCCCTGCTACAGTCTGGTGTCCAGGTGCTGGCATCTAAGGGTCTCATGCATTATGGTGGAAATCATACTAAAGTTCTTAATGTAGAATTCCTGTGAGGTTTCCTGGCTTGTCCTTTTCCCTTTTCTGCCACAAGATTTCAGGTACTGTTAGCCTGCAGGGCTCACTTAAGGATAATCCAAAGTAGTGCTTCACCAGAGACTTAATGCTTTGTTTTGAGACCTGTGGATAAACAGCCACAGTGGATTTTGAAGACTTGTGTTCTAGGGAATCGTGGAATGTTGTAGGCTAATACACATAGCAGCTGTCTCCTACAGGGTTTATAATGATGTTGACAAATGTCTGACCTGAAATCAGTATGTGGACTACTTCATTACTGAAAGACCCCGTAAATGAAGTAATACAGAAATGAAGACACACTGTTTTACTTTATGCAGAATTGCTTCCTTTTTACTCCTGTCAAAAAGAAACTAATGCTCTCACTTCTGCTTGTTAGGTCCTGGCCCTGTCTTGAATAAATTTGGGTGAGTATGTATTTTTGTTTAGACCAATAAGTTGTTAACTTGTAGCTAGTAGGAGCATTGTTGTAACCAGTGATGAAATTAGATTCTGCCAAATGAATGTCCGTGATATTACTCCTTTCCGTTCCATTTACTCTGAGGTTACATTCTTGCTCTGTCAGAGTTCGAAATGGGAAAGGCAGTGTGTCCTCTAAACAATGACTGGCCCAGAAGCTTGGAGTGGAAGGGATTTTAAAAATGTACTGAATACATGGAGTGTATTGTGGCTTCTCAACTGTTAGAATACTTTAACTTGTCCCTTTTGCTCTAAAGGTTACCAGTTTAAATGACACTTATGTCTGGATGAACACCTCTCAGATGATGGGGTCTGAGACCTCTACTGCTTAGGATGGGCCAAGGAATGATCTGTTCACCCCCTTAAATGATTAAATTAACAAAGCTTTTTAAAAGCTGGTTCATACTTCACTTGATCACTTCTGCTAGTCTTCCACACTGTAGATCGAGGAAATCTAGTCGAGCGGGTTATAGTCTAGCTAGTTTGGGTTACTAATTCATGTTATAGTACACTTTAAAACAACTTTCTTTTCCCCCATAAGCATTAATATTAGAAGATGATGGATGATCAGGACAGCATTTCAAGTGAGAGGTTTGTATCTTATTCTGTTCCTTTTGGGTTATATGTGGCAAAACCAGCTGGGTTTTAATCCTGTAAAAGTAACTGCATTGTGTGATGGGACCAACCTTTCGTTGTTGTGCTTGTATGAAGCTCAGTGGCTTCACTTAAATACTATAGTTTTAAACTCTGATCCTAGATACAGATGTGTACTACTGTCAAACACTAACACTTTCAAGAATGCGGAGATGTGTGGTAGGTGCGCCTCTAAACAATTAAGGAGCAAGCCCTTGTTCCAGTTGTAAGATACTGGGGTTTCAAAAAAAACCTCAGTTTTAGCCCAGCACTGTTCTCACTATAGTCAGTGGGGGTAAACTCCCATTAACTTAAATGAGAGCAGAGGGGGGGCCAACACAGAGCACTCACGAAAAATGTTAATAGGCTTGTAAGGTGGGACTTACCCATCTTGAGATGCTCCTAAATTTTCTTCTGTTTTGAATATGCCTCCTGCACCCACTTTAACACTATGATACCACAGAAGCAACATGGGAGTAACTTACAAAAAGCTTAAATTCCTACTATAGCACTTTGGGTCACTCTGCGAAATGGTGATGGCAATTCTTGCAGCAGAGTATTTCATGGGATGAAATGATTAAAACTGCATAGTACACATCTGTGCAGAACCTTGGTCTCCTGGGCCCTAGCCACTGGACCACAGTGATGACTCGTTGTCTGCAAGAGTCATATATAGGTGCAAATTCGCCAACATTGATATTGGTGTCTGATTAGTACGAGACTATTCCTCCAGTACCTGCAAAATGTAAATGTTCAGAGAGGATTCTAGCTGTGAAACCAGACTGAGTCGATTCACTGCACTTGGAATCCACATTAAAATCTACTAACTGCATATCTAGGATGCCTCCCTTGCAGCTGTATGATAGAGGTTACCTTCCCCCGTGCTTTCCTTTACAACTGAACAAACAGTGTCACTTGGCTTGTGGCTAGAATTGAAGCCTGTGATGACTTGGATTATAAGAGTAGTGGACAGAACAGGTTTCTGAAAACTTCACTCTGAGGCTTTGAAACTAGTAGTATGTCTGCAGGCAGAGCAAAGAATGACATGTAACATTTGAATTTTTTTTTTCCCCTCCAGGGCTGGAGCGCACTCCTGGAAAAAGGATCACTTTGCTGAGGTAACTCTTCACTTCAACTTGGAGTAGAGTCTTTGCTCTGGTTCCCTGGCTGACAGTGGAAGCACACACTATGCTAGATATGTGCCTTGAATAAAGTGTTTGCAGCCATTATGAGCTGCTCTGCTTTTTAGAGTTAGCTCTGGACAGTTGCCAGAAGCTGGGAATTGGTGACTGCAGATGAATCACTTGATTATCTGTTCTGTTCATTCCCTCTGAAGCACCTGCCATTGGGCACTGTCGGAAAACAGGATATTGGGCTAGATCACTAGTTCTCTAACTTTTTGAATTGGTGACCCCTTTCACACACAAGCCTGAGTGCAACCCCCCCCCTTATAAGTTAAAAACACATGTTCAAATATTTAACACTATTATAAATGCTGGAGGCAAAGCAGGGTTTGGGGGTGGAGGCTGACAGCTCACAACCTCTCATGTAACAACCTCATGACCTCACCCCCAGTTTGAGAACCCTGGGGCTAGATGCACCTTTGGTCTGACCCAGTATGGCTGTTATGTAAATTCTAAAGCCACACAGCTCTCTGCACAGACCCAAAGCCATAGTGGACTGAAGATGTTTCTAAGAATGTAGTGCTGAGGCTTTGCTGCTTATAGATGTCTGTAATATAAGTAACAGAGTCCTGTGGCACCTTTAAGACTAACCGATGTATTGGAGCATAAACTTTCGTGGGTGAAGGCCCACTTCGTGCATCCAACTTGGCCTTCACCCACGAAAGCTTATGCTCCAATACATCGGTTAGTCTTAAAGGTGCCACAGGACTCTCTGTTGCTTTTTACAGCTCCAGACTAACACGGCTACCCCTCTGATACTTGTAATATAAGTGAGGTCATTTTTAGTCATGAGAATAGAAGAATTACCAGACATGACTTGATATGGTAAGTTGGCTGTTGCATTTATCTGACATGTAATTATGAAAATGATATTCTAAGAGATTCCTCTTCCGTGTCAGTTTTATGAAACATCCACTCTTACAATTGACCAACCTCACTGCTAGTTCACCACCAATTCTAAAAAGCAGAGACATTCCCAGAAAAAGTCACACCCAACCCAACAGCATTCTCCATCTCCTCTATATGGTTTGACCTAATATTTTGTTTTTATATGCTAGTGTCTCAGTGGCAGGTTGGAATTAGGCTTGTGTGCTGCAGTATGACTGTCACTGTCTATACTGAGGGTGAGATAGTACTGTTTAGCTCCAGCAGCATTGAATAAAACTGTTCCACTGCTGACTATAAAGTATATTGGTGAAATGCTGACTTCCTGTCTGTGTATGTACTGTTAATGATGATTTTGTTGTAAACAATGGGAATCTCTCTGAATGAGAATGAGGAGGACTCTTATGCTGATACAGTACAGAACTTCAAGCTGTCTCTACTAAGAATCAGATTCTACCAACCAGAACCTGTTTGTAAAAATTGAATTATTATGTTACAGAGTAAAGTTGGTCAAACATTCAGTGAAGCAATCAGCCCTCTGCCTGCCTGAGAGGTAAGGATAAAGCAAAGTACTGGGAGCTTATTTTAAAGATCAATGTGATGCTTGAGGCTTAGATTTTTGGAATCTCTTCTTGGGGGGGTCCATTGGACTGTCAGTGCAGTTTAGTGAGGACAGTGACTGTTTTGCGTATATTTGGCCATATCTGCCAGCTCCCATGACACTCTTCCTTGTGTTAGTCCTGCAGTTCCTGTTTAGTAATGGGGATGTCAGGAGAATTCTTCTGACTCATACCAGCAGAAATGTTCAATTAATTCTTTATGCAGAATCATTCTTAGAAAACAGCTCGACTTCCATGGCTGACGATTAGAAGGACAGTGTCTGTCTTGCTTCCATTAAAGCTAATGGGAGCAGGATTGGGCCCCTTCTACTGGTGACTGTAATATAGTCTGATCACTGCAGTCAAACAAAGCTAGAAGCCCATTTTAGTCACATTCTACCTTAGGGTAACTCTGAATCAAAGAGCTGCTTTAAAGCCAGCACATCTTAGTCTGTCACTAACTTTTCATGCTCCCACTTTGTAGGAGAGGGATGACAGCCTGAAACTAAACGCCCCAGTGAATGAAAGTGCTATTAAGCCGATACAATGATGATAACATAGTTCAGCAGAATACACAATGACGAACACAGCTTTGTCTTTCGCTCCTATCTGATGTATCTGGCTACAGCTGAATCCTGACATTAAAGAGCTCTTGTGGTCTTAAAAGTGACTACATGAAAATAGCACCTTTGTATTCCACATTACCTGCTCCTTGGGGGCAATTAGTATGTCCACTTGAAGCCTAACTTGCCCATGGGTTGTTGAGGGCAGAATTCTACAACCAGGGGCAGTGGCTGGGCCTGCAGAACCTCTATGGGGTGTGTGTAAGGAGAACCTTTTTATAAAGGACATACCCTGGTGTTGAGCCTTGTAGGTCCAGTCAAACACTGACATGATATAAAAATACGTGGCTTTGCTCAGGAAGGTTCCTTTGCAAAACTAAGATCCAGTTGTACAGATCTGCTAGCAGTTAAGCTCACGAGACTGGTGCACTTGCACTTTTACAGTGCAGGTTCCAAAATGCAGATGGGAAAGGGCACTTGTAACTACTGATGAAATTAGATTCTGCCAAATGAGTTCCAGTGCTGTAAACCATTTCCACTCTTGCTGAGGTGCTACTGATGGGAGAACTATTAATTAACGTCCATTTCCCTTCTCTTTAGGGAGCAAAATTGGTTTGAATGGACAGTTGAGGAACCAGAAAGGTGGGTATCACTTTACTCGCATTGCTTCAACACTTAACAGTGACATGCTGCTTTGATCCCTTTTCTGGAATGGAGAGATGATGATTACAGTCTTAGCTTGAACTCTCTCTCTGATGAGTGATGGAAAATCTAAGGTCTGATCTATTCCTATCAATAAACATCTTGTGCTTTAGAGTTCAATGCTTCACCCTATAACAGTTTTTGTCTCTCTCCTTGCAGTGTGAAGATGTCAGATTGTGTATCTAGCGACTCCTAAGTTTTTCCCACAGAAGACAGTGCCCTTGCTTCTGAGGTGTTTGGGCATAGCCATGGAGGGGCCAGAGTCAATCCTGCAGCAGTGGGTGTGTCAAGCTGGAGGGAAGCAGTCTCTCTGCCACCCCATTGCCACAATAAGGTGACATGACTTCTGGATGAAGAGTCCTACAAATTTGTGCAGAAAAGATTAAGTTCAGAATGTCTTGTAGAAGCATGTGACAAGTGGGGCAACACTGATACACACTTTGGTCTCTTCTTAAATATCCAATTAAGAAACTAGACTTGCTCTGAACTTAAACTTTTGCCATGTGTGTCTTTTAACCAGCACTAAGTAGACTTTAGAAGTAAAATAACAGCTGTCTAACAAATTGAAATGTGCTAAAATAAACTCATCAAAAATGACTAGTCTGGAGTAGTTGTGTATTATGTATGAGTTCAAAGTCTCAGGGTATGTCTATACTATGAAATCAGGTTGATTTTTATAGAAGTCAATTTTTAGAAATCAGTTTTATACAGGCGATTATATATGTCCACACCAAGTGCATTAAGTTGGTGGAGTGCATCCTCAGTACTGTGGCTAGCATTGATTTATGGAGCAGTGCACTGTGGGTAGCTATCCCACAGTTCCTGCAGTCTCTGCTGCCCATTGGAATTCTGGGTTAAGCTCCCAATGCCTAATGGGGCAAAAACATTGCTGTGGGTGGTTTTGGGTACATGTCATCTGTCAACCCACCCTCTGTGAAAGCACTGGCAGACCATCATTTTGCGCCTGACACCAGGGAGGCTTTGAAAACCAGTTTCATGACTGTCCAGGCTTTGGTGTGACAGTTGTTTCTCCTTGATGCAAACCCACCCCCTTTGTTGATTTTAATTCCCTGTAAGCCAACCACCCTCCCCCCAGCCCCCTTTGAAATAAAGTAACTATTGGTTTGAAACCATGCATTCTTTATTAATTAAAAAAAAACAAAACAGGCAAGGTAGCCTGGGGAGGAGGGAAGGACAAGGCCACATTGTTTGTTGTAACCACACTAAAAATCAAACTGTTTGAGTGCAGCTTTCTGTTGCTTGGCCCATCCTCTGCAGTGGAGTGACTGGGTGCCTGGAGCCTCCCCCACTGCATTCTTGGGCATCTGGGTGAGGAGGCTATGGAACACGGGGAGGAGGGTAGGTGGTTATACAGTGGATGCAGCAGGGGCCTGTGCTCTTGTTGGCTTTACTTCACCACCAACAGATGCTTTGCTCCTCTATTAGTCTCAGCATTGTGTCCTCCCTCTACTCTTCCTGGTCTCTGCCACTGAATGCCTACATGCATTAAGCTGTGCCTGATCTGTCTGGGAGGACTGCATGAGCTTGGAAAACATGTCATAGTGTGTGGGTTTTTTGCCTTCTAATCTGTGATAACCTTAGGGACAGAGATGATAGGGGGAGTGTAGAAATATTCTATGCTCTACAATTCTGGGGGGACTGCATGGTCACCTGTGCTGCTGAGTTTGCCATGCTGGCCAAACAGTAAATGAAATTACTTATACAATTTATATGCATCTGAAGAAGTGGGTTGTAGCCCACGAAAGCTTATGCTCTAATAAATTTGTTAGTCTCTAAGGGCTGGTCCACACTACCCGCCTAATTCGGCGGGTAGAGATCAATCTTCTGGGATCGATTTATCACGTCTCATCTGGACGCGATAGATCAATCCCAGAAGCACTCCGTCGACTGCGGAACTCCTGCTCGCTGAGAGGAGGAAGCGCTGTCGACGGGGGAGCCTGCCTGCACCGCGTGGACCCAAATCAAGTACTTTTAGTTTGATATAGAAAACATCGACTTCAGCTACGCTATTCTCGTTTCCTATATTGATCCCCTGGACCAGCCCTAAGGTGCCACAACTACTCCTGTTCTTTTTACGGATACAGACTAACACAGCTGCTACTCTGAAACCTATACAATTTAGTACAGCACTTTGAATACTGAAGGGGAAAAAACCTGAGAAGGAAATAGGCTTAAGCTTTATGCTGCTTTAAACACTTAGATCCTGCACTAAAGTTTCTGACTCAAGCAATAGTCCTAACTCCACTGAGTAGAAATACCCTTCTCATCTAACTGGACTCTGAATAGCTGAACATGAGAATTTATTGCCTGGCCTAATGCTATCAAAGGAGTGAGCTGGTGGCTTTGTGCTGAACTGCTTTTTCATTTGAGTGTAGCCTAGCTGTGGCTAAAGAACTTCAGGTGCATGCTTTTTGTGGAGGGGGGGGGGGAGTAAAGTACAGATATGCTTTACTCACTTCAGTAGCAGTATATGTTACATTCCACATTGAGCTTCCAGCTGTGTGCTGCAATTGTTAATGTATATGCTGCTGGTATCCTCTCAGTAGCACTGCTATTACAGGGATAGAGGGGCATAGCCATGAACCTGAAGTGATTTATTAGAGGCATTGCTATTTCTATTCACATCCCACGCTTAGTGAGGAAAAGCAGTGGATCTGAATTAAGTTAAGATTGCCTGTGGCCTAAAGCAAAACTTGAAGTGATTATACTTAATGTAGGCAAATTGACTTGGTTGAAGCACTCCTTGGCATAGATCTCTGTACAATACCTAGCACAATAGAGCCCTGATCTGGGGACTCCAGCTGCTACTATGATCAAGTCTCTAGCCACAGCCCCCTGGCTGCTGCAAATTGACAGTCCTCAAGGGTGAAGCTCTACAACAGGCCTGCACAACTCAAAGTGGCCAGGGCCATATTACTCCAAAGAAAACAGCTGAGGGCCAAACCCTCCCCCAGCACCACCCACCCCATAGAAACAACCCCCCCCCGGGCCGCCCCATCCCCCCAAACCCCCCCCCCCACAGAAACCAACCCTCCTTCCCTCACGCCACCCCCCCCAAAACAGCAGTATTGAACCTGCGTAATATGTTATAGTGGGCCCCTAAGGTAGTATAATTAAGGTAAAAGAAAACTCTTTTTGCTAGAAGTAGAATAAGCTCTTCCCCCCAACTTTGTAATCAATTGCCCTGTTCAGTGAATGAGGAAGGCAGGCACCTCCAGACAGCTGCAACCCTGGGAGAGGGGATGGGAGCCAGAACAGGTCAGCCACTGACTCACCACTCGCCTCCTCAGCTCACCTGCCCCCCTGCCACTGCCCACCCACTCACCTACTCACCCCCAGCCACTACCCACCTGCTCGCCTCCTCAGACCCCCCCCACCAGCTCACCTGCCTCCTCACCACTGCCCACCCCCCTACTCACCCCCTGCCACTGCCCACCCGCTCACCTCCTCACCCCCCCTCCCTCACCCCCCCTCCCTCACCCGCTGCTTGCCTACTCACCCCACACGGGCCACACAGGGAGCCCACACAGGCTGCATGTTATGCAGGCCTGCTCTACAACAAGCCCTGGAAGAGATGCAGCATATCTTCAATAGAGCTTTGCCAGGCATAGGTGCTACCACAGCCCCTGACTTGAAGTGGTTTCCATCACATAGGGGGTTTACTGTTTGGTTCACTGTCTCTCACCCCCAGAAAAAGTGTTCTAGCACCCCTGTCCTCTGGTGGTTTCTGACAGCACCTGTTTACATATAAAACAGTCCAGATCAGAAGGCATTTAATTATTTTTTTGCTTCTAAATATCATTGCACAGGTTAAGTCACTCTACAAAAGCCATCCTTACTATTAAAGTACAGCAGTTTATAAAATAGTATGGTGGGGGTGGACCTTTGAATGTTATAAAGAGAAAAGGTCATTAAGAGGCTAGTGTGTAAATGAAAGATTTGGCACCTGTAAAATCGCAGTAGTTTCTCATCTGGAGTGATTAATACCATACTTTCAAGTGTAAATGAAAAACACCTGTTTTATTAAAAATCAAATATGGTTAATTGTCTTCAGGCTGAAAGATAAGAAGTGGCACAAGCTGGTACATTTAATGCTAGCACCAGTAGCTTCCATCCACCCATCTCTGCATCCACCTGCCTGAGTCACTGCTCTGAAAATAACAGGGTTTAACAACTGCTGTCAGACAGCTCCAAACATTGGTGTCCCACTGCTGAGGACAGGATAAAACAAGCCTTGGTAGAAACAGGCATCCATAACAGTGACTACACTTGGATGAAAGTGGCATCACATCTTATTGACAAGACACTAGTCTTTGTCCACCACCATAGCCTTGCCTTCCCACACCATAGCAGTTGGAGCAGCAGCCTTTAGGGGATTTTTCTACCTTTTTTTCAGAAGCTCCTAAATCACTTAGTCACAAATTGTACACTTTCACATCACAGCTGTTCTCTATGTTCAATGGATTTGGAGACACACCTGCTACCCCTGAGAGAGCAGCAGGTCTGAACAGACTCTAAAATTGATCAAAACAGAGACAGCCTTCTGTATTTTGTACTTGAAGATATGCTAAGGAGCACAGAAATTTGAGACATGGGTTTTTGAAGCCAGTGTCTGATCTATAGTCCTAGATAAAATGGAATGGGGAGGTCTCTGCACACTGGCTAGCACATACACAAGTCTGTATGAGTAAAGTTTCTCTTCAGTACATACAAAGTCATGGAAGCAAAAGGCACAAGCAAGGTCTGTCTTCATCCAACACTCCCGTATTATTTCTTGAAATACCACACTTCATTGTGCCTATTGAAGAGCTTGAAGGGACTGTCATAGCCAGCAGTATAATAGAAGTCTTCATGGAATGACTGACCCACATTCTTTAGGATTCTGGCCAGTGCCTGGGCTTCCTCAGCATACTTCTCTGGAGAGGCAAACCCACCAAAGGACCTGGGGGAAGACAATGGAGACAGGGGCTCTGGTTTGTAACACTGGCTTTGTTGGAGTTTTAACAACACAAACCTTGCAGTTAGAGATGAGCCCAAACCAACCTTCCCAATCCAAATACCCCAAGCTTTAGAGGGGGAAGATCCAAATTCTGAAATGTTCAGCTGGCTCCTAGTAGCCCAAACCAGAACTCCAGAGCCACACCGCGGGCAGATCTGAAACCAGGCCTGAAGCTGAATTTCATGGAGGGGCTTCATCTTTAAAATAGGCTGAATCAGCAGCCTGGGTCCAGACACTCCCAAACTATGAGGTGTTTGAGATCTGGCTTCATGTTCTGTTGTTAAGGCCCATGTGTAACTACTGTCAGGGATTCATCCAGCATGTGATGGTGTGATCAGGCACATCTGTGTGTATATATAATGGCCCCAGCTGACACTTTGCAGAGAGTTGCCTGGACACACAATGCTAGCTGTTTATTGGACCAACTTCTGTTGGTGAAAGAGACAAGCTTTTGAAATTCACAAATGAAGGGAGTTAGGAACGCGGTGCTCTCTGGTGGGTTTCTCTTTCCCAGACATGGTATTGAACAGCACAGGGTGAAACTGCAGACATCAGCCCCCTCTTCATGCTTTAATCC